CCTCCGGGGCAGGCGGGGATCAAACTCATGCGGAAGTGGCTTAAGCTTCTTAGTGCTGTGCTTTAACCCGCTGCGCCATCAGGGAGGGCCTCTTGTTTTACTTTTTAAAAGAAGACCAATTCTTAGTCAGAGGTCACCAGCTGACTGGCAAGCGGAGCACAACCCACCTGCTGCCGGGTTTCTCAGAATGGGTGGGCCGGGCACATGCCACATAGTATGGGCTCACCCCATCTCCGTCCCTTGAGGGTGGCTTGGTCTGCTGGGGGTTTTAATGTTCCTTCCTCAGCCTGGTGCCATCAGCTATTCTTCCAGAATAGGGAGAGGAAGGAGGAGGGAAGGTGCCTGGGGAGCCTGCCCCCAAGGCTGCCTGCCCTGGCTGGGGCTCCGGCCAGGCTCTCTGACTCTGGCCTCTAGAAGGTCCAAGTGTCCGATGACCAAGGCAGCTGGCCTCCGGACACACCTCGCTTTCACCCACGTGGTGGCCCTCTGGGCGATAGAGGGGTCCACCCCGTCTCCTCCACCTGGAAGGCCTTGCTCTTCCCTTTGGGACCTGAATGTAGAGCAGCTTCCTGGCCTGTCACCCTCAGGCGTGCTGAAGAGAGGCATTATTAGATGTCATTGTCATGCAAGGAGGGCCTTCACGAAACAGCCCTCTTTTTTCACTCCTGAAAAGAAGTCTCTTTCACATTCCCTGAAAGCCCCAACTCAAGCCAAGCCCTCCCCCACCTTCTCTCAGCCTCTGAGCCAAAGCCCTGAGAATCGCACCCATGTCTGTGCCCTGCAGTATCTTCGAAATAAAGGAGCCGGTGAGGGGTCCCGCGGGCCAGAGGTCAACCCCACCTACACCAAGTTCCCGGAGGACCAGGGCCTGGTCAAGACCCCGGCCTCGGCCGGCGATCAGGCTGACAGGCTCGGATCTTCTCGGTAAGGAGAGGAAGGGGGTGGAGGGCTTGGAGAGTGGATATTAATTATTCAGAAGAAAAGTGTCCTGCAGCCTTGGACGGGAAGCCACGGAGGCAGTTTGGAGATGCCTGTAGCGCTGGCCTTCCAATAGGAGACCTCTCGAGGGCGTTAGCCCTGCATCCGCGTGAAGGAGTCAGTTCGGCCCAGACTCCGTTGCTGCAAGAGCACCTGCTTGCAGCCTCCTGTAATATCTGCTCCCAGCTGGCCCCAAAATGCATTCTCCTGGGATTCTCAGTCAGCCCCGTGTTGGACTGTCAGAGGCTCTGAAGTCTCCTGTGTCTGTCTCGTTTTGCGTAAGCAAGAGTTCCTGGAAGAAGGGCAGTAGTTGGGAGGGTTGCCCTGCCAGGGCTGCTGTGAGGACCAGCACTGGCCAGCTCCTTGGACCCCCAGATCCCTGCTGGCCCCCGATCCCTGCCCCCAGCGAAGCACATGCAAAGGTAAGGCCCAGTGGGGCCCAGCCTGCCTTCCCGTGGTGATGAGCCCCTTCTGCCTTCACACAGCTCCGTGACCAACCTGGGCCACATGCTGGTGGAATCTGCTCTCACGTGGCCTTCCCTGCCCAGTCCTCACAGGGCCTCACCCAGGTACGAACCCAGGACCCTGGGCCCTCCCAGTCCCCCCCATCCTTGGTTGCATTGTCATCCCATTATAAGGAGGGGAAACTGAGGCCAGGCCAAGTCAGGGGCCCTTTCAATGGTCAGGCAGGTCAGGCAGGTCAGGCAGGTCCAGTCGTTGTCCAAGGTGGTACAGCAAGTGGATACAGAGCCGGAGTCTTGACCTGGGGCTAGCAACTTGCTGTCCTTCCTGCAGCCACACAGTTCGCACCGTGAATCTCTCAGGGCCCGGAGCCCAGGCCCGTCCCTTGTCTTGTGCCCATTGAGAACTAGTCTCAGGGAAGGATCTCACGTCATACTGGTTCCCCCTTTAAGTCACTGATATCCCCTCAGTCTCTGGCCCCCTCTTTATTGATAGAATTGAGTCTTTGGACTTAAATGGGCCCTTTGTTCTTCCTGCCAGCCTACAGACAAAGGGTGGTTTTGTCCTGCCCCTGAGCCCTGCCCACTGTCCACTGGAGCCATGCTCCTGCTGTTAGCCCCCACCCCCACTTCTCAGACAGGTCATCTCAGGTTCTGGATGCCTCAGAGTGGCCCTAGACCCACAGCTGCCCTGTGTAGCTCTGGGCAGACAGGTCCTCTAGGTTACTGTCTCCCCAGGAACTAAGACACTTTCAACCTGACCATTAGTAGCCCAGGGACACGGGTCAAAGCTGGTTGCTGCTGCCCCAGCACCTCCACCTGGGGTCACAGGGCTTTTGGGAAAGGGTGGGCAAACTCTGAACCACAAGAATGCGTGCTACGCTTCTCACCTGCAGGAGGACGGACAGGCTGTCTCCCTAAGGCTCTTGCACTCTGTATTGGGAGCAGGGAGGTGGACAAGCTGGCCTCTTAACTCCCCTTCCAGGCCTGTGTGGCTGCACCCTTTATGGTCCACAGAAGCAGGAGCTGGCTGCCCAGACTGCTGCCTTCAGTCTTGTTTCTTGTTGTACAGCACACAAGTAGTTACTGAACCCGAGCACAGTGGCCCTGCCCTGCGGAGCCTACAGCCCCTCCCCATCAGTAACAGGCCAGGCGCGCACAGAGCATACGCAACCTCAGAGTGTGTGTCCGTCAGGCTTGCGTGGTAACTGATGGGCACCTGGGGTGGGCAGGCCAGCGGTCTGTCTTTTCCTCCTGCCGCTCCTGCCCCATAGGTGAGGTCATGGAGGTCACTCGATGAGAGTCTTCTGAATGCAGGGCACAGAGGCCAGCTGGCCTCTGCCAGGTTAGCTAAACATTCTGAGCTGGTTGAGCATGGATGTCCTGTACTCCTAAAACACACTAAGTCCATGCCAAAGCCACTGACAAGGAGACTAGTCTTTGAGTCACAAGCCTTCAGAGTAGGGTTAGGGTTAGGGTTCACTAAGTCCATGCCAAAGCCACTGACAAGGAGACTAGTCTTTGAGTCACAAGCCTTCAGAGTGTGTTTAAGTGTCAGAACATGGAGGAGTCTGCCGTCCTAAGGGCCTATCTCAACCAACCCCTCGTGCTCAGAGGGAGGACAAGGGCCCAAGACTACAGGCCCAGCCAGCCCCCAGCTCACATGCCCCGCCTGGCCCTCATACACGCCCGGCTCTGAGCCTCCCTGTGACCATGACACTAGAAAAGCAAGCCTAGGGTCTCAGGGTCTCACCAGGCCATAGGCAAGGGCAAGTCAAGAGAAAACTGGGGTTCACACCTGGGCTCTGGGGGGTGGAACAGACCTTCTACCCTGAACCCAGGCAGTGGATAAGGGGCGGGCAGGCAGGTGCAGTGGGCCAGCTCGGGCTGCAGGAAACTGACCACCTCCTAAGAGCCAAGTGTCGACTCCAGGAAAGGTGGGTTGGACTTGGGGCCAGCCAGGAGATGTGAAGGGCGGCAGTGCTGCCCATCTGGCGGCAGCGTCAGGCGACATAGGCCCCGAGGGCTCCCCAGCAGCCAGACAGTGTTGCTGATGCAACTCTAGCCCAGCTAGAATCTGGCTTTGGGACCAGTGAAGTGAGATCCAGAGACTTCAGTCGAGCCAGGTGTAGTGAGGAGGACTACGGGAGCCAGGGCGGGCAGGCTGGCTTCCTTCTCTAGCTGTCTCTGAGGCCTCCTGAATTTCTCCCACCATCACAAAGGTAAGTGTACCTCTTCAGGTAACCCTGCAAATGACATCTACCCTCTACCCTCTACCCCCACCCTGGCCCCCAGGTTCTCGGACTCCCCTGAACAAAAAGGCTGGCAGGCTCAGGTGACAGAGTTCAAGGCCCTCTGGCAGGCCACCGAGGTGGAGCGCGACCGGCTCACCGAGTTTGTCACTGTCCTGCAGAAACGGTAACGCGTGGCTCCATGGACCACAGGCCTCAGCGGGCTGGGGGCGGACAGCCTGGCACAAGGGCACCCTCTTGGCCAGGCGCCAGGCCTCTGCCACCAAGGGGCTCACTTTACTCGAGAGCTTGGATCGCACAGTGTCGGTCCAGAGTTTTCCGGCCACACCTCACATGCCCACCGAGCGCCCCACAGTCCCGAGACCTGACCACCACACTGGGGTTGGCCTCGCCCTGTGTGGGTACACTGGGGCGGCCGTGCCCATGGGGGTGTGAAGTGAGAGTCTTAGTGCGGGGGGACACTCAGGAGCGGTGGAATCAGCCGGATAACCCACCAATGGCTAAAACCCGTCATGAGCACGGCGCTACGCTGGGCACCTCGGGAAGCCTCGGTGGGAAGATGCAGGCCAGACTGAAGTCTGGAACCCCAGCAGCAAAGGCCCTGTTGACAGGTGGGGGGCTGAGACAGCCCTGGGGAAGGAAGGAAGCGTGCAGCCGAGGCTCTGCGCCACGAGGGATGGTTTTCTCCAAGGGGTTGTTGACAGATTTCCACTCAGATAAATCAGTGTTCTTCTTTCAAGTGGCCCTTTTGGCAAGACTTGCCGGTGCCCAGCCCGACATAGGGCCCCACCGTCCGGAAGAACACAAAGGACCCAACTGAGTTTCTGTCCTGACAGGCCAGATCACGTGTCAGTCAGGGTTCTTTGATGACAATGGGAAGGCGGACTGGAGAGGTGCTGGCAGATTCCAAGGTGCCGGAGGAGAGAGGAGCCCTGGAAGGCACAGAGGCCTCAGGAGTGGGCCCAGTTTCATGCCAGTGTGCCCTGAGAGAGCAGGCCTGACAGGCCTGGGTTTGTCGCATGTCCCTCCCCGGACGCCCGGCACCCTGACCCGAAGAACCCCTGGATGCCCACACAACAGCAGGGGCAGTTTGCCAAAAAGAGAAATGGGATGCAGTTACCGGAGAAGAAGCTGGCGTTGGGTGCGGGAGGGGGCCGTGGCCGGCTGCACGCCTAAGCAGCGAGAAGCCTCTTCCCGCCGGGCCCAGAGACGGGCGCCGCAGAGTGCTTGGGTGCATGAGAAACGTCACGTTAATTCTCGTTCTTTAGCTGAAATTTAGTGGAAAATAAAAGCCTCTAGTCCGTCAAGTGGCAGGAACATACTCAGGTCAGGCTTTCCCGCCCCTTCTGGAGCGGCGCCTGAGTCTGGGGGGCGCCTGAGCCACGGTGACTCGGCATCCATTGCTGGCAGCAAGGCCTAAGCTTTGTGGCTTCCAACACAACGGTTTGCTCTTTCTCATCATTCCGCGTGTCGCCTGGGTCATGCGGCTCCACCTGATGCCAGCTAGGGCCCCGGTGACCCCATTTAGCTGGAAGCGAGCATAGGCCTCAGCTCTCCCTTCCATGGCGTCTCCAGGTGGCCCCTCTGCCTCCCAGGGCTTCTCTCTGCCTCGCGGGGTGACGTGAAGCCAGAGGGGCGCACCTCTGGTGGTGTAAGGCTCTCAGCTGGCACCCTCGCTCTTGTTGACTTTGCAGGTTCTTTCTGCTGCTGTGTCATTTTGGGGTGCGAGGAAGCTCTGGAGGCCATCTTGGGCTCACTAGCAAAGACAAATGGTCTGTTTTAGTCCGGGGCATTGCTGAGGACTTGAACAAGGAAAGGGGGCTCAGGCCCCCCCCCCCCCGTCTCTGCACTCTGATTCCCCAAACCTATTTGGATTTCTCACCCTCGAATACAGGCCTTCCTTCCCGGAGCTCCTCCACACCTGCGCCTCTCATGTCTGGCCACCTGCCCGGGGAGGGTCTCCCTCTCTCTTAGTCTGCCTGGGCAGCAGCCACAGTCCCCGCTCCCCAGGCTCATATCCTTATCCCAGGGGGACGGCTGCGGGTGCTGGGGCCCCCACATGCTACTGTCAGAAAGGGCCCCGGTGGAAAGTGAGACAGAGCTCCTGCCCTCTGTTTCCCTTCCCTCGAGTCCTGTGTCCGGTGACCAGTGTCTGTGGTCCCCCATCCAGTCTGAAACCCACATTGTAAACAACCCAAACCAGGTCTTCCCTGGCCTCAGAGTGCCAGACTCTGGGTCCCGAGAGTCTTCATACAGAGTTGGTCCCCGTCAACTCCCCAAGTGAAGGGAGCAGTATGATTTCCAGGGAGGGACGGAATGTGAGGGAATGCGTGGGGCTTCCTGTTTTCAGGTCCGCGGAGGGGCTGGGCGGTGCAGAAGACAGGAGACGGGTGCCTGGCCAACCCCGCAGGGAGCATCTCGGCCATCAGGAGGCGCCGTCAACCCCAGGAGACAGAGGACATGTATTAGGGCTAAACCATAGTCCGTTTTTCCAAATCTTCCAGAAATACAGCTGGAGCAAGTTAATAGTTGCTCATAGGAGGGAATAGGGGAGTGTGATTTAGTCAATTACCAGTTAATCCCAGTGAGGGAGCAGCCTTGGGTGAGTTAAAAGTTAAGCCTAAAGAATGCCATTCAGTGACTGAGTGTAATGCCTCTTACTTCCAGATTTAGGCTGGGAGTTTTGTGGTGCAGCGTGGAGGGGATACCACTGCCACCTGTGTCTTACAGTTGATCCATTTTTCTACTTGTTTCGATCTGGGGGTTAGTGTGTTTGGTCTGCCATGACTAACTAAAAAGACGAAATATGTCTTTTTTTAAAAAGCACACAGTTGGCTTCGCTTTACATTCAATCTGAGAATTTGTATTTGAACAGCAAGTTTAGCTCATTTTCGTGATATTTGGAAATATTTTGATCATCTCAGTATTTTCTGCTGGCCAGGGTTTGTCTTTGTTCCTTTTGTACAGCCTTCTCTCTACATTTGATAGTTTCTTTTTCTTTTTTTCCCCTCCCTGACTCCTTCCTAGATCAAGTTTTATTTGCCTCCCTAATGTCTAAGTTTGCAAGTTAGACGTTTCCTGTCTTCTTTTCCGGCTATCCTCAACTTTTAACATAAAGCTCAACACATCTAAAGACAACAGATTTCTTTACTATCACCTCAAGCCACAGGATACTGGGCGATCTTTTATCTTGGTTTCCCTACGGGCGTCTTTCGTGTTACTGTTTCCTAATATTGCTCTTCTACACTTTTTAAATCTTCCAAGACTTACTTCCAAATTTGTCTTTTTAAAATAAAATCAGTATAATCGATTTTTGCCAATGTGTTTTAAAATGTCTTTCCTCACCTCCTGCCCCCTGCTTCTCAACCCTCCATTTTAGGTCAGTTTCCTTCCACGGAAGTGGATCCTTTCCTTCCGTGAGGCCATGAGGACAGTCACTTCCTGGGTCTTGGCTTATTTTTCAATGTCTTTATTATGCCATTCTCTAGAATGAGAATTTCATCAGCATAGAATCCTAGATAAATGGACGTTTTACCGAGCACCTGGAGGCCATTAGAGTCGTCTGAGCAGCCACTGCTGAGAACTCTGGATGCTTCCTCAGGTGCTCGACTCTGAGATCTTGAAGTTCCACTATGAAGTATGTATTTGTTTTCCTACTTAGGAATCAGTGTTTTTTTTTTCTTTTCTTTCTTTTTTACATCTTAAAAGGATAAGTTTATTAGGAACAGGACAAAGAAAAAGAGGCAGAAGCACTGTCAAGGGCCGGGGGAGAGCTGCCTCTTGCCGGTGAGGGAACGTGCTTTTTCAGTCCAAGGATTCCAGTCTGTTGCCAGGGGCCACTCCCTGCAATGGCCTCTCCCGACTGCGCCTGTTCTTTTCACCTAAAATTCCTAGTCAACATAGATTAGGTCTCCTTCTTCCTCCTATGTTCCCCACAATTGTTGTAACGTCTTAATATTCTGGACTGATAGCTGGGGAACCCTCCTGTGAACTGGAAGGCTCATTCATCTATTTGGAGTTCTGGGGCCTCCGATCAGCACTTTATGTTAATTTATTGGGTTAGGGCTTCTGGCCTTGGGTTTGGGTTTTCTCACTCTTTCCTCCACCCGAGGCCCTGGTAGACTGCAGCTCTTCAACTTCTGTCCTCCAGCTCATTAAATCTCTTCAGTTTGTACTTCTATTGCCATGAAACCTCTTCATGTGTGGCTATTCTTTTTTATGTAAAACCTCATGCTCTCTTTTTCATAGTGTTTGTTCTTCTAGTAAAATGTCTTGCCTTTCTCTCTTTAATAACTTGCAACTTACTTAGTGTCCTTAAAGTTGTGCTGCCATCTTCATTACTTAGGCTCCTAAGTCACAAATATTGTGTCCCCTTCACGGTGAATGCTTTGCCTGTGTGGTTTGTATTTGGGGGAGCTAGTTTTCAGCGTTTTTTTTTTCCCTGGGGAAGCTCTTAGATTATGAAAAGACCCCTACAGATTGGTCCTGCCTTGTTTCTATGCAGCTTTGGGAGCTTCGGTGGTCTCAAATCAGCACTTTATGCTGATTTTCTGGGGTAGGATTTCCTGAGCACAGGGCTGCCTTGTGTTTCATTTTCTCAAGATGGTGTTTTCCCCCCACATACAGCCCTGATAGACTACAGGCTTCCTTCCCAATTCCCTGGGCTTATAAATGGATATCATCGCAGTGCTTGGTTACAACACAGCCCTGGAAACCTCCAGAAGCATGCAGAAACCCCCCTGGCAGCATGCTGCCTTCCAGGAGCTCAAGTTTATATCTTCTGCTATCACATTGCATTAAAACCTTTGTCTTACTCTATTGTCAGTGTTACCATTTTCTACTACAAGCACATACTTATTGCAAAAAAAGCCTCCTTTCCCAAGCCCAACGTTCCTCCTTTCCCATAGAACAAGCATTCCAAACAACTGAGATGGAAAAATGCACAAAATGAAGAATGATGTAAAAAATAATTAAAAAAAGAAATATTCGAAAATGCGAAGGGGGAAAAAAAAGAAAGAAAAGCATTCCAAAATGTTCTTTGCACATCTAGTAAAACATATCCATCTGCACGCATAGTATATTAGTAAAAGATGGACTCACACTAAACACATTTCCACATTTTTTGTGGGGAAATACAAAGTGGAGTCACTGACTCAGATAATACAC